ACATCATCAGCAATCACAGCAATACTTAAAAAAGTGTTTTCACATCATGGACTACCACATACAATGTTGACAGGTAATGGGTCCCCTTTCAACTCTCAGGAATGGCTAAATTTCACAAGAAATCTGAACATAAACACAATAACATCAAGTCCAAATTTCCCAAACTCTAATGGATTAGTGGAAAGAACAGTACAAACAGTTAAAGGCCTAATAATCAAAACAGAACAAACAAATAGGATACATTTCTGGCTATACTGGAACACAACAATACACCCAAACATGGAAAATCATCTCCAAGTGAAAAGCTGGTGGGAGGTCTCCTAAATACCACTCAACCTGTTCCAAAATGCATGCTTACGCCAAAGTTTGACACAGAACACAACATAGAAGACCTTCACATGAAGCAGTCCAAGATGATACCCCAAGAAAATTTTAAAAACAATCAACTGGCTGAACTCCATCCTGGACAACAAATTCTTGTACAAAACAAAACAAGAAACTGGAGCTGCGCCAAAGTACTGGAACCATCTGCAGAACGCAGAACCAAGATCCTACATTGTGAAAACAGAAGAAGGTAGCATTCTGAGACGGAATCGAAACCATCTGAAACCAAAACCACAAGAAAGGCAGCCCATGGAAGATATCGAGGACGTCAACACAGCAGATCACCACAACCTGGATAGATCTCAATGTAGCAGGGATTCCATTCCTAGAAAAGAACAATCCAAAAGGAAAACTAGGAAACCAGAAAGACTCTCTGAATATGTGTGTGACTTTTAGATGAGGCATCAAAGTGGTACACAAGACTAGCAATGGCTGTGTAGTGAAAAGTGAAGCAACATTTGTGGAAGTGAAAATGCACTCATTGATAATTTTGAATTTTCATGTTATGTAATGTGATTGTAATGTTTATTGTTTATTATTGAAAGGGGCGTGTCATATATGTCATGAGCGGCGTCACTGACAAGACAACTGACGTGAGTGACATGACAAGTGTGACAAGACAACTGACGTGACTGATGTCAGTCAGAAGGACGTGACGAAAGCGGCAAGGACAAGCCAGTAGAAAAGAGCACATGGTGATGAATAAAACACCAGACACAATAAAATATAATTGAATATATACAACCAATATTATTACACACATAACTGAATACCCTAGAATATAACAGACAACTCATAGAAATTGTTAGACAGGTTTCAGTACTTGATGTTATCAAACATAAAGATTACAAAAATCATGAAAAAAATCCAATGCCTGGAAAACGATTGGAGAAACCATGAACCGTCATGGTATATATTTTTGGAGTTTTTCATGCAGGAGATTATGAACTATAAAATTGTTTTTTATTTTTGAAGCTGCAGAATGTGAAGCACGTTGGGCTACCCTCTCCACAAGGGAATCAAAAAGAGTTAAAGTGGTCCCTTTTGGTTCAGGTGGCAAGGTCAAACCATGGATTTGGCTGAAGGAAATGAGCTTCCTTTCAGGCTTTGTACGTGGAAGAAAGTATGTATATCAAAGTAATAATTGAGTATATAAATGTTCTTATCTCGTGTTCGAGATATATCTGATATAAAAAAATTTCAGGACAAGAGGTTATGAAGCAAAAGCTCAGCAATCTGCAGAAATGGAAATAGAAACACAATCTCAGAATGTTTGGGACACAATGTCAGAAATATGCCATGATTCAGGTGAAGTGGAACAGATAGAGGAAACTGAGGTGGAAACACATGATGAAAATCAAGGTCCATTTGAAGAAGTTGAGCCTGTCTGTGAATCAGAAAAAAACCCTACACAAAATAGGAAATAAAATAATGATGGTCCTAGTACTAGTAGTACACCTGCTAGAAAATCTACACTACCATCCATGAGCCTGCTGAGAAACGAGCGTCATAAGAAGAGGAAGAAGAGTACACAACAAACTACTCTCATAGAAACAATTGATAGTGCTTGGGGTAAATTCGACAATGTGATGAAACAGGGTAGCCATAATGAGGACCAACCAGGGTAGCCATAATGAGGACCAACCAGGGTAGCCATAATGAGGACCAACCAGATATATTATTTGGGAAAATGGTGGGTGTTGAATGAAGTAGCATTGAAAATATTGATGTTAAATTCGCTGCTAAACAGGACATACTAAACATTTTACATCATGCTAGAAGCAGTTGAATCCAGTGAACTTAAGACAGATCTGATTTAAAATTTTCAAAATTCTGATATTGAATAGGAGAGAGTT